TTGTAGTCCCATGTTGGACATGAAAGCAGGCTGAGTGACTTGGGCCAGTTCTCTCTCTGCCCAATCCCCTTTACAAGGTGGTGGGTGTGAGGAAAATAGGAAGAAGAAGTATTATGTATGTTCACCACCTTGAGTTACTTATAAAATAATAAAGGCAGGATAAAGCTCAAACAAATAAATAAATACACATTTTGCCTGTACTTTTTTACCCCTAAAATAAATATTATTATAAGAATGACAGTCTTGGAAGATGTGATAACTAAACAAAGTAAGAGGTTAAAGCATTACAAATTTGGGATATGTAGACAGTATCACTTTGTTAGCTAAAATTAATGAAAATTTATAAAAGTAGAAAGTGAAAAAATGGAGTTAAGAAATCTGGGCTTGTAATTTGAGCAAAGAAGTGAAAGTGGCCTCAAGAATGATAAAAATTGGTAGTGTACATAGAAATAAAGAAATGAATTCATCCTAGGAAGGATCGTAATGGCAAATAAGATAATGAAAGATATAAGTATTTCGGTGACAGCAGTGATTAATGGAATGATCTTTCCAGGGTGATGTGGGCAGATATAAAAGCTGGACACTGAGAAGAAGCAAGAGAAAGGTGATGCATTTGATTTATGTTTTTGGAGATGGTTCTAAAGCATGAATCATAAGAAGAACAATAAGCTTGAATCAAATAAAGACTAACTGCTCCCCTGATGGAATGATCAACATGTACCAACTTTTCATTTTTGATGCAACCAGTCCATGAATTGGAAAAAAATATTTGACAAGATTAAAGGAAGAAGGAAAAAAACAAGATGGATAGACAGCATCAAGAAATTATAGAACTGCTTATGGAAGTGCTATAAATTATTACTAGAGGCACACTGAGATGGTGAGCATTTGTCCACTCATCAGGAGTTAAGGCTGACTCAATGTATTTAAACTAATCTGTCATCCAATGATCTAAAGTTTATTTCCTTCCAGAAAGAGCTCGTAGTGTCCTTTTGCATTCTTTATTGCCTGTTTACTCCCAGGCCCCAGAATTTACTTTCTTTATAAGTGTTCCAAGGCTGCCAGTTTGTTTCTGGATCAAATACAAAGTTCTGGTTGTTACTTTTAAAGTGCGATTTGGGTTGGTATATAGTTCTTAACTGAGAAAGGAGCTTTTACAGCATGTGATTTTCCTACCATGAACCATTCACTGAGCTTTTTGAAGAAGGCTGGCCTGTATTTCCATTGGGTCATTAACAACTTGGAGATAAACCTTTTCTGTTGCCATAGATTTGCTGTATAGATTTGTTTTCTTTGTTGGATTAAACCACATTGAAATATATCTTTGTGAATTGGCTTTTAAATTTTGGTTATTTTAAGTTTGATCTGCATAACGTTTGATATCATGATAATATTTTATTATAAACCACTAGGAGACTTTAGCAATTAGTAATATAACAAACAGGGATGTGCAATGCTTCAGATTCAATTGCAAAGCACTGTTTCAAATAGACAGAAAACAGCACCTCTCTGTGATTCATTAAAGCAGCTAAATCTGTTCCCAGAGTCTGCTGCTACATGGTTCTGAAAAGAAATGGATTGATGCTTGAACAAATTGTATAGAGGATTTGTGCTTGCACTTCCATATGTTCCAAAGCTCCTTTTCAAAATCAAATCCAAAGCATTGCACAGCCTAATTAAAAGTTTATTTCAGTAATAAATAATATCTATCTGAACATCAATGTTATTTAAAGAATCAAAAGGGGTGGGAGTGAAGCAATTCTGAACCCCTGACTTTACTGCCACATTCACACTGTTGCTTAATTTGCAGATCTATTCATCTTCCATTTACTTTGATGCTTTTTCAGTTATGGCTATCTTGTGCTTGAAGAACTCCTGCAATCTTTATCCAAAACCCATTGCCAAAATGTCTATCAATAAATCAAATAGACAAAATGTACAATTGCTTTTGCAGAATTGAAAATATCAAACAAATAGATCAGTATTATGCAACAGGTCAATTATGTTCCATAATACGGATAGTCCTCAACATGCAACCATATATGGAACTGGAATTTCCATTGCTAAGCAAGGTGGCTATTAAATGGAGTCACACCCAATTTTATGACCTTTTTGCCATGGTTGTTAAGTGAATCCCTGTAGTTGTTATGTGAATCAAGTGAATCCAGCTTCCCTCATTGACTTTGCTTGTCAGACAGTGGCTGGGAAGGTTGCAAATGGCGACCACATGACCCTGGGATTGCTGCAGCTATCATCAATACATGCCGGTTGCCAAGCACTGGAATGTTGACCATGTGACCATGGGAATGGTTGTATGTCGAGGACTACCTGTAAGTACTTCTAGATTTATCTATATTTTATATTTATATTTATATGCTACAGGTAATTCTTGAGTTATGACCACAATTCAGCCCAAAATTGCTGTTGCTAAGCGAGACAGTTGTATCTATCTCGCTTAGCAACAGTGAGTTGTGACTCATTTTACGACCTTTCTTGCCACACTTATTAAGTTAGTAACACGGTTGTTAAGTAAATTTGGTTTCCCCATTGACTTTGCTTGTCAGAAGGTTGCAAAAGGTGATTACATGACCCCTGGACATTGCAACTGTCATAAATATGTGTCAGTTGCCAAGTATTTAAATTTTGATCATACTACAGTGGAAATGCTGCAGTGATCATAAGTGCTGTTGTAACTTCAAACGATCACTAAATGAACTGTTACAAGTTGAGGACATCCTGTACACAGATAGTTCCTGAGTATCACAAAGCAAGCATCATTTCTTCCTTTACTATGGGTAGAAGTGAGTGGCTTCTCATGAAAAAATGTTGTCAGGCTGCCGCTGAAGCTGTTGCACTGATTCGTTGGTTTAACTTATGTATATAGTGCTTCATAATTATTCTTGAAAAGTGTCATTGTTTTTGTGGTTTATCCATTGAGCAATGCATCCGAGAGAATATTTAGTGTTTTTCTCTCTGTGTAAATATATGGATGCAGCTGGAATAAGTGAAGGTGGACAGATTACCCATATATCTACTCTTTCTGCTCTGTTGACTCTTTGGGTGGTCTGTTAGGAACACAGCAATAAGTCTAAGCGTTTTTCACTTAGTTGTCCAGCAACTAGGTTGATTCTAGATGCTCAGAGGAAAACACCACAATTATGCCAATGTTTGGTTTGGCACAAAGAATGTACAGTTTATTGAGCTCATGATGCTTAGCTGTTAGTCTCTGTGTTTCTATTGTACATTTACTATTAAATTGTTATCAATGATCGTGAGCTTTTTTGAATTACTTTCCTACAAAGTTGAAAAATGTTGAATATATTGCCTCTTTTGACCTAAGGACTGATGTAATTTCTGAAAAGGAAGGGTTTTTTTTCTTGCAAAAGACGATGTTTTGCTTCATTCACTGCCAAATCAATAAAATATGTCTTCTTGCCATGCTAATTTCCCCCTAATTCAGTAATCTGTTAAAGCTTATGCTAGTTGCGATAATGAAATTGTAGCCTAAACTACAAGTAGTAAATTAGAAAAGCCTGTGCTCTTTAAATTATCAGCTTACTACTTTACTTTCATTTGGGTTAGTTCTATCTCCTATATCTTTCATACATTATTTAACTAAAATTCTTCCCTGGTCTGCTACTATTCTGGAGTAACAAATTTAGACTATTTAAGCTTTGGGTTCCCTTAAGTTCAGCATCAAGTATAACAACAATTTTTCAACTGATTACAATTGATCATAACATATCTTTTTACATTGCTTCAATTAATTTGCTTTTATTAAAGTTTTACAAGTGAAGATAAATGGTGAAGACGCTTGTCTCCCACTTGGAAGTTTGAGAGTTCAACCCTAGGTAGCAGCAGATGTTTCTCTCTTAGGCCGGAAAGAAAAAAAAATCTGCTAACTCCATATAGGCGCCAGAAAGGGCATCTGGCCAGTAAACACTCAGCTCCACCAAGTTGCCCTGACTCCACCCCAATTTAAGGGACCTCATGGTTGAATAGATGGATAGACAGACAGACAGACACACAGACAGAAGAGAAAGCTAAAAGCAGAAGAAATAAAAAGAAAAATAGACAAGAAAAAAAGATACAAAGAAATAGCTCCTGAGCTTTACAACAGTTATAAGTACAATTATAAATTTGCCTTTTTCTCAAAAGTTTTATTTCTATAATCAATGCTGTCTAATCATCAAAATCATAAATCATATCTTCATTTGTTTTGGGTGGGTGCTGGAATTCATTTGAAAGCTGAGTTTGGAGAGTTGATGAGGGAATATAAATATACTCTGTCAAATATGCATCAACACTTAAAGAAACTGGAAATAAAAAGCTGGACTTGTTCCATTTATATGTCTCCAGAATTTAAAATCTCTGTTAAATCAAAGTCTGCCATTTGGAACAAAGTGGAAAACTGTCAGTAAACTTGTATTCTTTCTGAGTTGAAAAACTTCTGCTTTATTATTGGATAATATCCAATTCCCTCAAAACCCTTTTTAGGAAGTCTTGCAGTATATTCTTGAGGAAACATATTTTGTAGTTTTGATTATTTTAAAATTATCTCTTCGCCTATCATTATAGTAGGAATTGCAAAATATATCACCACACAATGAAGAAACCTATTAAGATAAATAGCTTAAATGTCTCAGAGTAGGTGTTTCTCAGCCTCAGGGACTTTAAGATGTGTGGACTTCAAGAATTCTGGAGTTTCCAGTCCACATTCTGTATCTTAAAGTTGCTGGGGTTGAGAAGCACTGTTCTAGATTGAGAATGGTATATTTCAAAATCAGGATGTTTTTATTTTAGGAATTCAATAATGGAATTTACAGAACTCTTAACAAGATCACTAATTAATTAATTATTCCCCCCCCACACACACACTTTATTGACAATGTTGTCATTTCCAGTTTAGAAATGTTTATATCATTCATGAAAGGCTCTCTTTCTCTGGTGGGAAACTGATAGGTCTACTAAATTGCATGAAATCTGCTTTTGTCTTTCAGAATATGACAAACTGGGATTTCTTCTGAAGTTGGATTCCAAACTGTGAGTAGAATGATGAAAGGACTTTATTTTGATCTGGCATTATCAATTTCTTTTGAAGGCATAACAAATTTTGGACCTGGCTTCAAATTGTATTACTACCGGTATAATATTATACCAATATGCAGTATTATTCAGTAGCCAAGACTAAAATTTATTATAAAAACAGTGACTTCTTAATATGATTTCAATATTTATCAACAAAAAAGATTCAAAATAAACCATCAAGAGAAGCATATGAGAATTTTCATCATAGTCCATTTCAGACTACTGAAATAAAGTCAGTTTAATTAAATAGAACATTCCTGGGTGAGCTTATATGAATTTCAAACCTGTGCATGCTTAGGAGTTTTTTAACATCAGTGTGGAGGGAAAATAATGTAATCTATCCACATATTGCATTAGCCTTGATTTCAACCATGATTTGTAAACTACAATGACTGTTCATGCAGCACCCTAAGACAGAACTACACTATAACTTACTGGTGATGAATTAATAATGTTGTGCATAAATTACAACAACAACTTCTTGTCTTGCAGGCAAAATATTGTTAACATTCCTGCTGTCATATTGTTAAATTCTTTACTAACTGATATTTGACTGTCCCTGAGAGTTACAGGTTTTCACTGTTAGGTGAAATCAAGTTTTTTTCTGTGCATTGATTTACAGGTAGCCCTGAGTTACAATTTTGTTCAGTGACCATTTGAAATTACCGCGGTGCTGAACAAAGGGTCTTATAAACCCATGCCCAAAGTTATAGCTGTTGCAGCTTTGGAGGTTTTAAAGTGTGGGCTGTCTGCCAAGTGCCTAAATTTTGATAATGTGACAGCAGAGATGCTGGAATGGTTGTAGCTTTTAATAGTCATTTTGGGTGAACTTAATAAAATAGAAAACACAGGATAGGATTATTTGAACTAACTTGTAAATAATTTCAGATACAAAAAAAGAATTAGATACAACAGAATGGCAGAATTAAACTTGTTCAAGCAATTTTTCAATGTTGTTAGATTTCCTAAGTTGTGAGTATATGTCCTATGTTCAAGGCAGTGTGAAATAATGGCTGTATTGCAACTACCAGCAGTTGGGTGTAATATGCTGTCTTTGTTACCACATTTCAGGCGCTATTAATAAATAGCATACAGATTAAAGTAATTATGAAATGAAGACTAGATTGGAATAAGTAAGAATAAGACTAGTGAAATACTGTGGATGTAGCATACTTAGACTTCAGTAAGACATTTGCTAAAGTAGACCACAACCTACTCCTTGGTAAGCTAGAAAAAGGTGGAATAGGTAACATCACCACCAGATGGATCTGTAGCTGGCTGGCAAACCATACTCAACGAGTAATCCTCAATGGCACTACATCCACATGGAGAGAAGTAAACAGTGGGGTACCACAAGGTTCCGTCTTAGCCCAGTATTCTTCAATATCTTCATCAATTACTTAGATGAAGGAATTGAAGGGGAACTCATCAAATTTGCAGATAACACCAAACTGGCAGGAGTAGCCAACACCCCAGAAGACAAACTCAGGATCCAAAAAGATCTTGACAAACTTGAACAATGGGCCGTGTCCAACAAAATGAGTTTCAATGTGGAGAAAAGCAAAGTTTTACATTTAGGCAGGAAAAATCAAAGATACAAGTACAGTTTGGGCAAGACCTGGCTTAAAAACAGTAACTGTGAGAGGCACCTTTGAGTCCTAGTGGACGATCACTTAACCATGAGGCAGCAGTGTGCAGCAGCCGCCAAAAAAGCTATTGCAATCCTGGGTTGTGTAAACAGACGCATAGAATCAAGATCACACAAGCTATTAGTACTGCTTTATAAAACTCTAGTAAGACCACACCTGGAATACTGCTGCCAATTTTGGTCACCATATCACAAAAAAGATGTGGAGAGTTTGGAAAAAATTCAGAGAAGAGCAACTAAGATGATCAAAGGCCTGGAGACTAAAACATACAAAGAACAGCTGCAGGACTTGGGTTTGGCAGTCTAAAGAAAAGAAGAAGAAATAGGGGAGACATGATAGCATGTTCCAGTACTTGAGGGGCTGCCGCCAAGAAGAGAGGGTCATGTTATTCACCAAAGCACCAGAGGGCTTTGATGATTGGAAACTGATGAAAGAGAGAAGCAATCTGGAATTAAGGAGAAACTTCCTGACAGTGAGGACAATTAACCAGTGGAATAGCTTGCCCCCAGAAATCATGGGTGCTCCATCACTGGAGATTTTTAAGAGGAGGCTAGACCAGTGGTTCTCAACCTATGGGTCGCGACCCCATTTGGGGTCGATCGACCATTTGGGGTCGATCGCCAAACAAGGCGATCCGCCATTTTCCCCCCTCAGGGGGCGCCACCGCGCATGCGCGGCGCGTTTGTGTGACGGGGGTCGCCGTCACACAAACGTTGAGAACCACTGGGCTAGACAGTCACTTGTCTGAGATGGTATAAGTTCTCCTGCTTGAGCAGGGGACTGGACTAGAAGGCCTCCAAGGTCCCTTCCAGCTCTATTCTATTCTAAGTAATGGAGAATGATAAGCTTCAGAAAAATTAACTGTATTACTTCACAGCAGCAAAACGGTGTTGCCAGAAATGGTGGTATTGTGAGCTTGTCTTGCTAGTTTGTGGCATGAGGTAGAAACCATTTTCATTAGACACATTTGTCTGAGGCAGCCTTTCTGGGATTCTGCAGAACTTCTGAGATTACATAATGTTAACTTCACATGCCAATAATCCTAGCAGTCAAAATGTTGGGAATTTTATGTACTGTCACTCAGCTGCCAGTCTGCTCCTTTGCTGTTTTAAATGTGGATTATGTAGATGAGAAATAAATTGTATTGTGAAATTTTTATATTTTTTTCCAATTTTAATTCAGGGGTTGTCTGTGCCCTGAAAATTACATCAAGGGTTCATCCAGGGTAGAAAAAAAAGTTTAAGAAAGGCTGTGTGCTTGTGGATTAATATATCACTGTTGTATATTTCAATTCTTCATTTAGTTATACTAAATTAGTTACATTAGTGTCTTTCAATAATTACTATTACCTTGCTGTCCTTCAATGGTTTTCTTTTCATTTTTAATGCACGATTCCTCTTTTTAGGTCTCATTACTAGTAAAATATCAAGGCTAGGACTCAAACCTTGGTGTATATATATATTATTCAACTTGAGCTTGGCTCCGGATGACTCTTGTTTCTTGGCCTCAACTTGGAAGTGGATGGGGGGGGGGGGATTTCTTCTCAGATTCCACTTTGACTGCATCCTTGAGATTTTTCACTGTTCAGTTTTTTCAAGATGACTCAGAGTCAGTTACGTGTTGCCACCTTCTGCAGTCATACACAGTATTGTGACACAGTCTTTTTGCTTTAAGTCTTTATTAGGCTTGTGAAATGTTTAGAGAAGGTATATACAGAGAGGAATGGGATACAAAAGGCAAAGTGCAAAGGATGTTCAACCAAGCTCCCAGTTGGTAACTGCTTCTCTCTCCCTGCTAGCATATTGTTCTTCAATCTGCTAAATGCATCTCAAAGCTCTGAAGAAAAAATAAATTAAATCCCACAAGTCAAACTGATATGTAAGTGGAGAGATTTTTAAGTAAAGTACCGGTAGTAAAGTAACCCTTTTAAGCAATGGCATACTTCAGAGCAATCTGCTCTCAGGGCAAGTAATAAGGGGGAGTGCTGCCAAAGATGACAAGGTAAAGAAGAATCAGTTGTTGATCTATGCAGCAGAATGTGCTTTCAAGTTAATTTGACTCCTGGTTACTGCCCTCTGAAGATTTCTTAGCAACATTATTTTGGAAGTAGTTGGCCCATGCATCATTTCTACCCAGCTGATTTTGTACCTAAGGCAGGACTAAAATTCACAATCCCACCATTTCTAGTCAGGTGCCTTAATCACTATCCTAAACTGGCTCTCGGTAACAGAGAAGAGGATGTTAAAAATTTATTTCCTGCAGGCCCCAAATATGTTAGGTATGCAACCACTTGTAAGAAGGCTGCTGGCATGTTTGTTGCTCCTGTAATTTGCAGTGCAAACTTTAAAAAGCCGCCTCCAGCAGAGAAACTTTGCTGGAGGTCATAGAAGTGTCTTTGCTTCTAAAGTCATTAATCCTTCTAACTGTGGTTCAAAGTCTTATCTCCAGATATGTTTTCTACTGAAATAAAACTAGTTGCCGCCAGTAACTTGCTTGACTGTGTAAGGACTGAACATCCATTGTTATGAGAGATTTAACTCAAATTATAGTACAGATGTCAGGAATTGGAATTTAATTTTTTGACTTCAGGAGATAATAATAAAGGTTGGTTGTAGATCATTTATTTAGTTAGTTGACAAATGAATATCTTATTAAACGGATTGGGTAGTTTAGAGAAACATTAAAATTAGCAGTTTATGTTGACCTGCTTATAGCACTTATATTTGTTCTGCAAAAGTTGGCAAATATATTGTAACAAGTCTAGATAAAATGACATGTTCTGAACCCCTCCCTAAACATTAGAAAGGATGGGGTAAACCTCAACCCTAGGGAATTTTGTGTAAGATGGATGGTCTGCTGATAGTATAAAATTTTGTCATCTCATTTTTTAAATTCTTTCACAGTTCTTTTTAAACATTGTTGTGTACAAAAAATAATATTTATAAAAATAGATAGTTTGGAAAGTTACATGACCATTTATTTTAGTAAACTTGATTGTTTTACTTTATCAAGAAAAGAGAAAATAAAGACAAACTATATTGTTTAAACCAGATTTTGACTACCTCATTTTCCTTGGCTCATGGCTGAGAGGCTAATATGTTTGAAAAAGTACTCTACTAGTATTAAGAATTCGACATTTGGCTGTTTATGACCTTCTTGTGATTTCTGGCTACATTGTTCATGCCCAGGTTTTGTGGAGATATCAGACATATACACTGGCTGTGTAGTCAGACTAGTAATGAATGCTTGGTATTATTTTCAAGGATTCGTGGGAATGAAAGGAGATGAGAAAAGAGAAAAGGAGGTCAAGACTGTATGAAAAAAAAAATAAAAGTGAACACTCTGAAATTGCTGAAGTGCTGTCAAATAAGTTGCATTCCTACATGTAATAAAGAGTTGGAATGCAAAAAAAGGGTCAATTGGAGGGTTTCAAAATGTAGGTGGCATCTTGAATATAAAGCTTTAATGAACTCAGGGTCTGTTTTGCATGTTGACAGGCAGATTGTAAACTCAACTTCCCTGAACTTCTCTGGATGTTTTAGGTACTGTGTGTAAATTATGGCAAGCTATAGACTGTAGAGCTATGTCTTGACCCATATAAAAATACTTGGCAATAATTCCTTTATTTCAAGCTGTTGCTGGAAGAGTAGTGTCATATCAACAATCTGGGATTAATCAAACCCATAAATAATTGCAGATGGCAGAATTACTGTAGCATGCACTCTAAAGCACAGAAATGTTTAAGAAGGATCTAGTAAAACACTCATTTTGGGTGGAGGGAAAAGAAAATAAACTACTGCATTATTAGCTTGCAGTCTGCATTCAGGTGCTACTTGTAGATATAGTCTCTTATAGAGAAATATCTATCAGTGTTAGAATATGTTATCAAACATTTGGCTTCTTTTGACTTTTGACTTACTCTTTCCATTGTGTTTTGGAGAGATATTCCCTCCTTTTAACTGTTCTTAATTTCATCTTGACTCTGTAGATATATTGTATAATATATACTTCAGTTCTTTTCATTAAAGAGTAAAGTAAAAAGCATTAATGTAAACAATTAACCATCTGAGTGACGTGCCTGAACCAGTGGATTTCAGTCAAATCAGCATGTCAGCATAATGTTTTTCAGACAAACCAGTATGTCAACATACCATTATAGACATAGACTTGAATCTCTCTCTCTGTACACACACACACACACACACACACACACACACAGGTAGTCCTTGACTTACAACAGTTCATTTAGTGATGGTTCAAAATTACAATGGCACTGAAAAAAGTGACATGACCATTTTTCTCACAACTGTTGTAGTATCTCCACAGTCATGTGATCAAAATTCAGATGCTTGGCAACTGGCTCATATTTATGAATGTTGCAACATCCCGGAATCATATGACCATCTTTTGTAACCTTCTTATAAGCAAAGACAATATGGAAGCCAGTTTCACTTAACAGTTGGGTTACTAATTTAACAACTGCAGTGACTCAATAACTATGGCACAAAAGATCATAAAATGGGGCAAAATTCACTTAACAAATGTTTCACTTAGCAACAAAAATGTTGGGCTCAATTGTAGTTGTAAACCGAGGACTACCTCTCTCTGTGTATGTGTGTGTGTGTGTGTGTGTGTGTGTGTGTGTGTGTGTAGCCTTTTTAAGTACTGGGTACTTAAAAAGGTACCCTTTTTATGTACTGGGTCAATCTGTCTCTATTTCTATTTCTATACACACACACACACACACACACACACACACACACAGATAGAGACAGATGACCCAGTCCTTAAAGAGGGTACAATTCGCTTTAGTTCAAGATATTGATAGTTTGGGTCCCAAAATAAGGTCCCCCAAGTTAAAATACTGAAGAATAGGGTGGAAAGCTTTTTTGGGAGGAGTAGAATTGCCTGGAGTAACAGATATATTTATATCTGAATTCTTTTATGACAGAAACAGGAAATTAGGTGGAACATTATAAACAACCTGACATGTAGCCAATGTCAACTTTGAATATGACTGCTTTTAATGTTGCTGACAGATTAATGTGCTCTTTATTTGTATATTGATTATTGGATTGACACTCTATCTTTCCATCTAAAATATCGAAGTACTTGATAGCTCAAAAACAATGTTTCACTTTCCCACTTTGTCAGCTTAGGTTTGTTATCTTCTCTGGAAATAAGCCCTTCTTCCTTCCGATAAATGTATGCATCTAAATCACTATAGTTTGCATATATAGTATATCTGTATGTGTGTGCATGTATACCTTCCAGAAGGCACATTCCAAAATGGCGGAGCGGGAATTATCATCATCTAATTAACAAATACTCATCAGCATTTATAAATTTGATTTGCCATGTATGCACACAAATGTGTGTGTGTGTTCAAAAGCATCAATACTCTTCCTAACTTGCTTCTTCAAAGTCTGAAATTGTAATTAAAATATAAAATAAAAACTACTTTAAAAGGCCTGATTGAAAAAAATAGTTTTAACTTGTTCCTTGAAAATAAGAGAAAATGCAGCTTAATAACGTTGTTTTCAGTGAGCAAAAACAATTACAGTATATAATTGTTAAATAATTATTTGCCTATAGCACAGTACATTGTTCTTTAGACAGCCTGGCACCTAGTCTAAGGACTGAGGCTGCTGAAGTCAAAATAGACGTTCCTAGGCTAGAATAAGCTCTTATCTACATTTATCACAGCTGCTTCCCAAAACCATTATGAGATCTGCTAAATATTTGTTAATTCAAAAGTGGGGAGAGATAAACCTGGAGTTTAAACTCTGGAGTGTCTGTTTATCTCCATCTCCGTCTGTCTATCTATCTGTCAGATATATGTGGCTGCCAATCTTAAAAACATAACTTTGAGCACTTATAATAAGCAAAAGAAAAAGAAAAAATATTAAAGCAATAAAACCAAAATCCGTTGCCTTATCCACCCTTCCCTGATGCATCCAACAAAACCATATCCCTATCTCTTTTGCTCTCTCTGTCCATATGCCAGTACCTATATTTATTCCTGCCTCTATTTGCCATGCTGTGGGCAATTTGGCTTCATTCTTTTCTGCAGTAAAGTTTTAAATCTAGTTGAATCGTGTCTTGGAATCAACTGCCAAATCTGTCTGAGAGTAGAAATCAGAATTATACATCTAGAGACCTGTGATTTACTACCAAGCTCTGGTGTCAAGCCTGACATCTTCCGACAACACTTTGCCATTAAGGAACAGGTTACATAAGTGCATTTCAGATAGACCACTTATAGGGCTGGTATTTTGCAATTCCTGATGTTATGGTGATAAGAAAAAAAGAAGCGGTAGAAAAATATGGAAGGGTTATGAATGAAGTATGATACCTTGACATCCCCGTGAAACTCTAGAGCACCCAGAGCTAGTACTAAAACATTACAAGTACTCACCAAATAAAGCTGTCCAACGTGTTTAACATATTTATTTTTTCCTTTATATCAAACTAGGGAAATGCTGACAAGGGGATTGGTCAACATTCCAAACAGCAAAAGAGCAGATAGAATGGAGACTTGCCCTTGTAAAAGGAGGAAAGGAGGAATGAGATTGAGGTGAGGGAAAATAAAATCTAGAAGAAGAAATGCCTGTTAGGTCAAAGTATGCAGAATAATTCACTTGAGATATCTTTATATATGCAGATCTAACAAATTTGCACATAATATTATTTATGAGACAGTCTCAAATTAATCGTGAAGAATCTGCATTGGAAGAATTAAATATTTTGATTTTTTTTAAAGTTCCCTGCAGAGGCAAATATACAATTGTTTTAACTGTTCACCAATGCAGTTAAGCAATTTTGTCACATCCCATAACTTTAGTCTTCTTCATTTGAAGAGATTTTGGGTTTAATTTGTGAAAAAGAGGCCAAGCTGCTATTAAAATATGCTTCATTACTCTATTCTGGATGCATTTACTTATTAATTAATGCTGAAATTTTTAATTTCTGTTTTGTCTGCCATATGTCTTAGGATTTCATGAGTATTTAAATTTAGCGTAAACTCATGGCATACATAAACAACCAAAATACTTCTTTTCATCCTTTTATTAATGTCAAAGTAACTTAAACCAATGCCTAACTTCACTCTAGATTATGGGTTTGTATATAAACATGGCTTTATTATTTTCACAGTAGCTTAAATTGGAGGCATGGCATGACAGAAATAGAGGCTAAAGATGTAATAAAAATGTAGGTTGTGATAACAATGGAAATCTTAACTCATTTTAAATAGGTTGGATATACATCATTTTAATCATGGGATAAAGTTTATGGATTGTAGACTTATGTTTTTCAGAAAGTAGAAAAGATTAATAAAACATGCTGTTGGCTAACTTTTGTTCCAACATGGCAATATGACTATTGCTGGTGGAGCATTTTAAAAATCCATTGAATTAAGAATAACAATTAACATGGATTAGTATCAATAATGTCTCTTGTCTTTATTAAGTCTTGTTTCATTGTTGAAGTACAGTTGTGGTAGGGCAGATTTCTTTCAATATGATATCACCTATATAAGCTAGAATTGGAAAATGTGCTGGAATAATGAAATATTTTTGAAGCTATTTCCCAAAATGCTATTCGTCAAATTGATTGGGTATAATAATCCTAATCCAGGTACAGAACAGGTTTGTTCTCTGGAAGCCAGTGAAGAATGGAGACGAGAGATATAAAACCTTGAGTAATTGGAGATGGCCTATTAGGCAAGATTCTTTGCAATTCCTAAATTATACAAATTATCCCAGTGGAGAAATACCTTGTCTGACATGTAGCAATATTCAATATGGCATATGATATATGTACTCTTTCTGTTTTAGGGAGCTAGGAGAAAACTAGTGTTCAACTTTTAAAAAGAAAGAAAATGTATAGAGATCATAAATCTGAACCAAAGCTATATAAATAAAAAGTTAATGAACAATAGAAATATTTGGATACATTTATTCATAATTGCAAATTCTTTTATTATGATATTCCCACTGATGCAGATAAATATTGGCTGAGTTCATATAACATGCTAAATCATAAATCTGAATTAATAGAAAGCAATTGCTATGTTCAGTTAACATGTTTATATCCAGTCAGCTACATTATTTGAGTTAAAAAGATGACTTGTTCGCACATGTTAATACAACTGCTAGATTCCCACAACAGCAAATTAACGTTCACTCAACTGCACTCATGAGAGTTCTGAGGCACATCAAAATATTCATAGCTGGTGGCTGAGTCCCCTGAATGAGTTCACGTTACTGTGGGCATTTTTCATATAAAAGCTCTTTAATAAATAATTAAATTAAAATGATATAAGAACATAGAAATATATCTCATGAGATTTGAGGGATTTTGTTTATCTTTAAATTTTAAATTTGGAAACAGAGTGGGTCTATTGTAGGAGTGTTGCTAATTGTTCTTTATATTGAAGAACTAAAACTAAAACCTGTAGCATCCCAAATACAGTACATGCAAAATGGGTTTTTTTGTTTTAAACATTTTTTTTAAAATGCATGACAATATGAGTTTTACAGAAATAGTAAAACTTGATTTTAGATAATGAACTTTAGTTTTCACATAAAGTTTTTAAGTAGAGGCTGGATGTACCAGCAACAGATATTCTGTACTAGTAAAAATGTGTTACATCACTGTACATTATTATAGCATTTTTATCTTACTGACATGGTTCCGACAGATGGAACCCTTCAAAAGAACTTCGAGGCATTGTTTATTTTTAAAGAATCTTTTATTCGGGAAACAAAGTATTGGCACTACATAGTTGAACCCCAAAACTAAATTTACCTCTCCTGGATACAAAGTAACAAAGTACAATTCCCAGCCCCAGTAAACAGTCATAAAGCACATTCCCCAATTAGCTTGAAGCACGGGCTTTCTCCCCAGCTCTCCAGCCCACCAAAACGTTATCAGCTCAAGACCCAGTTTGTCCTTGGATTCCCACAACAGAGTTATTATTATTATTATGATTAACTGAACTCTCATCCAAATCCCCCCTCCCAGCACCAACTAATTCTAAAAGCATAGAGAAAATGGCTGTATTTTCATCTGTTGTCAAAGCAAGAATATCCGATGTTAGCAGCATTGACACATTATGAAGCAAAAATTTAAAATTTATTGTGGTTCAAAAGTTAAGCTTTCTAATCATTCAGTAGAGCATTCAACTCCATTAGCAAATTTTTCTGTTGTCAAAATCTTCTATTTTTAGACAAAATGAAAATCAAATGACACAAAAAGCAGGGGTATTCTGAAGAATTATATGCCATTCCTAAATTTTGATACAAGCTGTTCTGATAATGTTTTTGGGTTGAGTTTGTGGTCAGATCTTAGAAGTGATAGGATTTATCTAATAATTTTTGACATATCAAGAGTATTAGTTGCATACAGACAGGCCATTTTACAAATGTTCGAAATTATGATAGACCCCCCCCCAAAAAAAATTGCATATGACTTCAAACTTAAAATGGCTGCAGCAGTCCTGCCGTCATTCACCCATACAACCCACCATAGATTGCTGCAGTGTCCTTCCGCCTCTCTCCCCGCATCCCATCCTACTGGGACTTTGCAGCATTTGGGCCTGCTCCGCACATTATGCCCCACACTTACCATTTCAAGCTCTTTAGACCTCATGTTAGGGAAGTAGGGCATGACATGTGTCTCTGAGCCAGGTGGTGGCAATCTAAATATGGCCGCCATTTTGCCCCATCCACTTGTGGGCAGGGGCAAAATGGCAGCTGACAGAGAAATTGTTTCATTTTACTGCCTTAGAGATGTTTGCACAGTGCTTCAGATGTTTCTGAATGCTGTACAAAACTTCTGGAGCAAAACAAAGCAGTTTGTCTCTGGGCCATATAGCATTGACCCAAATGTGGCCACCATTTTGTCCCAGCCCACAAAAGGGCAGGGACAAAAGAGCAGCCATCAGACAGACTGTTTCGTTTTCTTCCTTAGCGAGGTCTCCACTGCAAGTTTGTTAAGGCAGCAAAATGAAGCACTTTGTCCCTGGGTTGTGCAGCGGCGACCCGAATGCAGCTGCCATTTAGGGGATGGGACAAAATGGCAGCTGTTTTCAGAATTGTGCCATGCAACCACGCAAAGAAGTCATTTCAGGACTCTGGAAGGCCTCGGAGCTCTTTAAAAGGTAAATGAAGAGGATGGTGCTTGGCCAGGTGGAGTGAGAATCAGGTCTGGGATGACCCAGTGGGAGTAGGAAAAGACCTCTTAGGACCCAAGGCATGGAAAATGGAGCATGGGGCATCTTAAGGGTGGGGGAAGCCTTGGGATGCCCAGGCAGGCAACCCTGGGCCTGTATTAGACCTCCAACAGCCTCTCCCACCCAGGAGGCACCCCACGCTCCACTTAACAATCCACACATTTGTTTTATATTTCATTGGGGAGAGCAGGGATGGGAGGGTCATTAGGTGAGATGTTTCACCTAACAACTGGTGCAACATGCAGCTGTAATGGGCAGGTTCCATTATAGCCATATCTCGGGGACTACCTGTAATGCTTTCAATTACAAAAGAGGAACAGTCTTTGTTTTTTCTTCTAAAGCATGTTATTGATCCAGGTTTGTAACTATTCACTAATATTCAAGGTGGCTATGAATTTCCCAGTTGGCCATATCATTATCCTGTCTAGTAATGAGAAGATCCAAGCAAATAAATATCCCAAATGGATAAAACAACATAGAATGAGAAACATAAAAGACAGATCAAGTCTGTGACCAAAATGGGGTATGTGATAATTCTAAGTAACTGTACTGATAGTTGTGGTTGGCTGCAAGCCTATTTTTGCTTGTGACACCTCAGAATATGAACTATTTATTATACTTAGAAAAGTTCAATAAGTCTATCTCTGACCTTGAGACTTTTTATATAATTGTGTCTTTATTTGCCAGACCAGCTGTTCATTCCTCAAATGAGACAATCAGACTGCCATGAATGAAAGAAAACAAAAACACAAGAGGTGTTTTTTTTTTTTTAGCCAATATCTTAAATTCAGTTGTTTAAGTCTAAACAGTCTCCTCGGGATGTATAAGGATAAATAGCTAAAAGAAGTATCCAAGGCCAAATCTTAAAGAAGAATACCATCTTAAGAATAGTTTAAATTTTAACTTCAAACTTTCTCATTACTTGCATTTCCATTGTCCAAATGTGGTTTAGATGTGCTGGAATATCTGGAGAGCACCAGTTGGGAAATGCAGGCTTGAAACTTTGGGTTCCTTTGTCATGCATGAATACTATGAAGAAGCAGATTTTTTTCTAAACAGTATCCTCTATATGAATAATACTGTTTATATTCAAATTTTGCATTGAAATTTGGGGAAAGTTAGGCTTTCATTATTTGACTATATGAAGACTATAGGTAGAAAAAGAAGCTGACAGAAATAGCTGTTTTCACCATAGTAACTGTACTTATTTGGAATATAAATTCAGTGTTTTATATATCCAATGATTGTGAAAGAGACTGAGCTCTTAGAAAATGATAAAAGGAAATCATGTTGGAGTTATGGTATACAATCTCTCCATTTTCATAGTAGGTGGAAGAAATTTATAATAATTTGGTTAGATTTACTGTACGGTTCAGTATTATATTGTAACATTTATATAATAGCAATAGCACTTAGACTTATATACCGCTTCACAGTGCTTTACAGCCCTCTCTAAGTGGTTTACAGAATCAGCATATTGCCCCCAACAATCTGGATCCTCATTTTACCGAACCTTGGAAGGATGGAAGGATGAGTCAATTTTGAGCCGGTGAGAATTGAACGGTCAAACTGTAGTCATATAAATAATAATAAATAATAGTAAATGTAACACAGTAATAGTTTACTAGTTTATGTAGTAATAAAATTACATAGTAATATAGTATTACAAAGTAACTCCAGAACAAAAAGGTAATATTTTTCCTTATATTTTTGGAATCCAAACTCCAAAATGGCAAGGAAACACACTACATACCAGAAGCCACCTGGTACAATTTGATGACATCCCATTTTAATTTCATAAGACTTTTCTGTTCCTGTTGCTGCTGTTCAGAAAAGCTAATGATAAAAGGATTTAGTTGATCCACTTTTCATTTATTTTTTAGGATGATCATAACACTTATTATTTTTTACAGGCCTCCAGAAATAGTATCAAAATATGGTAATATCTCAGAGGGTGTTTGCAAGCCTGGGTATGTTTCTGCTTTGATGACTGCCATCTTTCCAAAGTAAGTGACCAAGCTTTGTAATAACCCAGTTCTGTTCAATTAGAATAATGTCCAAAATATGTGATGAAATATTCATCTTAATTAAAATGAATTTCAGGTGATGCAAAAACAAACAGGGAACAGTATATGTACATAATGACTACGACTAAATGAGATATTTTTTTCATCTTATCCTTACATTCCCATATGTTCTAAACATATTAGCTGGGGATTTTAGATTTTATTGTATAATTTAAATATATCATACAATATTAAACTTAAACTTTATTGTATGATATCATAATTAATCTCATCAGGTTGTAGCATCCTCTGCTGACCTTGAAAATGTTAGCCAGAGTTGGATCAAGTTTGTAGACTTGACTGGGAATGTTTTAAACAAAAAAAAATGTGATAGAAGGCAATAGCAAAACATTTCATATTTTTGTCAAGAAAATTGTATGCCTGGATCTGTGAGGTCACTAGAAATAAAAATTGACATTTTCACAGACCATTTTAAATGTTTCTAAAGTCTCAAATTAATTCAACAATGCTATCTGATCATATTCAATGTTTTTTTTCAATGAATTCCTTTATATGAAACCAGGTATTACATGAAAGAAACTGATAAGGCAAAAAAAGGTTTTTCGTTCATTGAATGGGTTGTGTCAGAAATTAGTGAAATTTTAATGTACTATATTTCCATTTGTTGAATTGAACTTTTTTTTTTTTTTGGTCATGTAAGAACAGCTGTGGTAGAACAGCTTTTGACCTTTGTCTGAAAATAAGTCTGGCTTTCTGTGCTTTATGACAAGAACCTCCAGGTCTATGTGATTACTCTGTAGTGTAAGGCAGAGGTCCCCAACCTTTTGGGTACCGGGGACCGGTGCTGTGGAGAGAAGTTGTTCCGTGGACTGGAGGGTGCATAGTTTTGTGTGCAGCCTGCATCCCTCGGATGGGGCTTTGCTTGTTTGTGTGGCCCAGTACTGGTCCATGGACTGGGGTTGGGGACCCCTGGTGTAAGGGAGCAAGCACAGTAAGTGTCTTTTGCCCTTCTCTGAGCTTGAAGAAAGAGCCTGAAAGCATACAGTTTCCTTGGGAGAACATTTGCTGTATAACCGCTTTTTCACGTGGCATTTCTGGTCTATGATAGCAGCATATTTTTTTTATAGTTTTATTTGTCTTTTTTTGTCAGTTTCCTGGTTTTCCTAGTGAACACAGAAACATTTGGATCTGCTGTCAACAAAAGCCCTTTTAGTTCTCTGGAATCTAAATAAATCTATTTAGCGATATCTAGAGATTTTTGCTGTGCCTTCTTTGTTGCTTTGTTTTGTTTCCATGTTCATATAACACAATTGAGAGCCAGTGTGCTGTAGTGATTAAGGTGCTGGTTAGAATAAGGGAAATCCAGGTTGTAGTTCTCCTTGTACAGTACACAAAAGCAGTAGGGGTGATTTAGGATTAATCGCTGTCTTTTATCCCTAAACTGAGAAGTTGAAAACATCTGGCTATCAAGCCATAGTTGAACAGTGTGGGAGACTATCATCCATATAATAATAATAATAATAGTAGTAAAGTTGGAAGGGACCTTGGAGGTCATCTAGTCCAACCCCCTGCTCGGGCAGGAAACCCTATACCATTTCGGACAAATGGCTGTCCAGTCTCTTCTTAAAAACTTCCAGTGTTGGAGCATTTACTGCTTCTGGAGGCAAGCTGTTCCACTGATTAATTGTTCTCACTGTCAGGAAGTTTCTCCTTAGTTCTAGGTTGCTTCTCTCCTTGATTAGTTTCCACCCGTTGCTTCTTGTCCTGCCTTCAGGTGCTTTGGAAAATAGCTTAATTCCCTCTTCTTTATGGCAGCCCCTGAGATATTGGAATACTGCTATCATGTCCCCCCTTGTCCTTCTCTTCGTTAAACTAGACATACCCAATTCTCGCAACCGTTCCTTATATACTTTAATAAAGAGACCTAAAGTGAAACGATTAAGATTGATAACAATAACAATATTACTGAGGACCACAACAACAGTTATTACTGAGAACCATGAGTACCACTTTGTAGACTATAATTTCTCAATCATAAAAGATTCTATTATATACCCTGCAAGCCTTCTCTGATCTGACTGTCATAGCTATTCCTTTTATAAATGGATGGATATATGTGGACAAGACAAATGATGCACAAGATAATATATTATTGGAATTTCAATTTGATGTACCATATTAAGATATGCAGAATCTATTCTACATTATATTTCTTCATTTATTCTTATATTCCTTGTCATGAGCTTTTTGCAACTTCATGAATTTGATTTTTTCTTTAGTTCATCAATATTAGCAAATATTCTTCATAAGCCTGAGATGACAGCTGTGTTGCTATAAACGCTCTTAAGTTCAAAGTCTCCTGTTATCTATACAGATTAACTCAACACCTCCTCACTGAACTAGCAGAATTTGTTACAACTATTCATTATTTTTGTTAATATGAAAGTGCCAGCTTGCTATTTTGTTACCCTTGTCAAAATCTTAAATATATTTAAAAAGAAGTTACTGTGCAACCATTCATAAGCCTTTTTTGCTTTCTGTTCTCCCATTTCCTGCAGAGTAATTTGACCCCTTAACCATAAGTGCATTATGTTTTTATTTAATGACTGTAGCAGAAGGAAAAGCAGGCAGTGTAAAATATTCTCTTTTACTGGCTGATAAATTATTGGAAGGTTGAAGATTTACCAGGTTCACAAAATGAATAGAGTTGACTTGCAAAGTCTTAACTATTTTTTAAAATGCTAGTAAAAGATCCCTTGGGGTAGTCAGTTAGTATTTTGATGGTGATGTTTTACACTCTGTTTATCTAGATTTGCCAGGGTGGTCTTATCCAGCAAGTATATAAACTTTTCAAGGCCCAGAGTATAGAAATAAGCTTTCTGTCTCCCACATTAATTGGTTTCCTCAAAATCCTCAAAAATAAAGATCTAGAAGGTAGTATATCATTGGAAAGTAACATATTAATTTTAAAAGACCATTAGTTAATTAACTTAATCTGGATATGGTATATCCATTTTATAATGTATGTGGAAACTCTTCCTCACTCCCAGCTTAATTGGAATATAGTGTAGATTTATACTGTGAAAGTATAAAGCCATGGTGAATGGCTTTATGAAAAAATGAAAACAAAGCTTAGTGTTCAAGTGCTATAACAGGCAAATTTCTGCATAGAGCCATTAGGAAGGGAATTGAAAATAAACAGTAATATGCTTATATAATTATAGGGAAATACTTTATATAAATTTATGATCACTTAACTTTTGAAACGAATAGTATAGATTTGAAAGAAAAGAGCAACCAAGTTTTCGGTTATAATAATATTCAGAGCATTTCGAACCTGCTAAGTGATTATAAGTACATACAGATAAATGCTTGTAATAAAGTGATTAGTGTGTCTATGCCATATTTCAAGATTGGACTATACATTTTCAGTGTAAAAGTATTCAGCCAAATGCAGGTCTCCATTCATGTCTAGGGGATGTTGCAATGTAGAAGTTTCCTACTGGTCTTTTGCAAGAGGCTTATAAAATATTTCTCTACAGCAAATATTAACTATGTGGATGTTCTGTGAAATGCCTATCAGGGATTGTTTAGTCTGGAAGGCATATCTAGAATCAGAAATTAAAAGGAAGTCTGTGTTTTTATTGCATTTTTCGCTGATGGTTGTGATTGTAACTGAGAAATGTACACATAACAAGTAGAAAAATATGCCTAATTTGAACTAAAATTTTAACTTGGAAGGGATTTTTTTTCAGATTCTGAAACATTATCTCCTAAAAGTGAAATTTAATACAGACATATTTTCTTTATTTTATGGCTTTTTATTTTTATTTATTTTATTTTCATTTTATGGCCAGAAGCTTCCTGTATTGTTTTATATATTCAGTCAAGCTGATTAAATGACATTCTCAGACAAAAGATACCAATCATGGTTTGATGAATTTAAAATACACTCTGCTTTGTTATGATAAATGGAAGTTCATACTTCTCAAAACACTACGTTGTTGCTGTAAGATGTTATAAACTGTATATAAGCATTTCATCTCACCTACCACCTACTCCTAAATTCTAACTTTATCTTGATTTGTGTGACATTAAGTAGTTTCATCCATTTTGACAGTTTGATAATAATTTACGATTTGGTCTATAGCACCCTGTCCTCAGAACACATATGTTCTCTCTTGTATATTCTGAATGATCTAGATATTTCTCTTAGATTTCAATTTTCCCTTCTTCATATAAAAGTAGAAAAGTTTAGATGTCCTGACTATGAATATAAAAGATTTTGTAATATACTTGAAATTTCTAAATGAAACATTGAAGTGCCCCCTAGCGTAATATCTAAAGTATCTAAATAATACTTTACCTGCTTCACAAAAGAGACTCTCAGTTGTAATCATAACAATAAAGTGTTCATGGTACATAACAACATAAACACATAAATAGTACTTTGCCGGATCAGATCCCTGGCCCACCTAGTCCAGCAGTTTGTTCTCACAATGGTCAACCAACTGCACAAGCCAGTATCCCAACTAATGGCTTTCCTAGCCAGTCACACTACTATTAAAGCTAACTAGAACCTATTTCAAAGCTTCTGTGCATTATGAAATTCATATTCAAAATAAGTATGAACAGAGCCCCAAAAATTTCATCCAGTATGGAGTACTCTAATAGAACAGTATTCATACAAACTAAAGATTTCATTAGCTACAGCCTAGTGGGGTGGGAATGACGTTTAAAGGATATTTGTGCCCCTATATTTACTTTCTGGATGATTTTTAATTTTAATTTTCCATGATGTTTTAACACAGTGGTTCTCAACGTTTGTGTGACGGCGACCCCTGTCACACAAACGTTCTGCGTATGCGTGGCGCCGCCCCATGCGTTGCGCACATGCGCGGCGCCCCCCCCCCATGCGCGGCACGCATGCGCGGCGGCACCCCCTGAGGGGAGAAAATGGCAGATCGCCTTCTTTGGCG